AAAGGGGCCAATATTTAAATCCGTTGTAACAAGAAATCCGCTGTGGCGAGGTCCGCTGTGACGAGGTTTGACTGTACGGTGCTCATTTGTCTTCGGTACGGTACGCAATTTCTACACACCAAAAGAAAAACATCTAAAATCACTAAATCATTCAACTTGGCTTAAGGCCAGAAATTTTAGAATTGCTATTTGTAATAATGCATATCTCAATTATTTGTTATTCAAACAACCTGCCATTCAATGTAACTTGGATATTCGAGATTAATTACAAAAAACTCAATATTAATCTTTATTTGAGTAGAAATTTCAAACAATAAATAACAAGTAACATCAATGACGAAGTCACTCACAAAACATTTGTTACACTTAATAATAAATGTAAATAAATAGATGCCACATTATTTTTTGCACATATATATTTATTTTCTTCTTTTTGAGCCTTTTGTGGGATTACAAAGGTAATAATACCATCTTTTATTTCTATTTCTACGTTACAATCAATTCTATTTAATGAAAGTAAGTTAATTGTATTCCATAAAACAATTACTTCATATAGAACATTTCCAATACTTACTCCTTCGAGAATTTAACATTTATGGTGAATTTTCCAGCAATTCTATTATTAATTTAGGGCCTTTATCTGGTTTACACTGTGGGAATCTACCATTAATTGTTAAACCTTTGTAATCATCGTCCAATTCAATATCAAATTGTAATAAAAGTCTTACCTGCTAATTGCAACTCAATGACTGCAGAGTTTTCAATTATTTCATCGGATAGATCATGTGAAAGATATTTGATCGAGAACGGATTTTGTTGGTCCTCAAGCATTTAGGTAAAAGTTATTCTACTCCAAATTGCTGTTGCCTTTGAAACCGTTTCCACTACAAGTACTTACAATCAGAATAATAATTGATGATTATTTCAGAGAAAACAGGATACTTACCAAGACGAACAAGATGTTGAATTGTTGGATCCGCAACTTTGGGCACAAATTTAAATTTTGTTTATTCCTTTCTTTACATAAATTTCGTGCAATATGAAAATCATAATTGGAATTGTCTCTCAAATTTGCAGATCTTGTATGATCACCAAGAGAGCGAATAAACTCATTACAATTATAATTATAAAAAATGACAAATTAACTCGTAAAGATTCTGAAAAAAGTATCAAATCTATGATAATTAATCACTTCTGCAAAATTCCTTCAATTGCTTCAAGTTTTTTAGTTGATGAATAATCAAAAATAAAGGTTGCTATTCCTTTGTTCCAATGAAGTTGGTTGCTATTCCTTTGTTCCAATGAAGTTGGCAGATTCATTTCAAGAGCATAATGCTTTATAACCATCTTTAATATTGGTACCAAGACTTTAAAAATCAAAAGTTATATTAGCGTTAGGAATACTCATATGATTGAAAATATGTATTACTTCTTCAACTTCATTGAATAAATTTTGATTAATGCAAGGAATGGATTTTTATCAGAATTTATAACAAAAACAAAAACGACATCATCACTAATAATACCAAAAAGAAATAATCTGGAAGATATCATTGAACTTTCTACCTAAAAAAAATTTTTAAAAGAAGGAAATTGTTTAGTAAATAAAAATCAAAGACAATTATTTAGTATTATGTAAAAATCGTTGGTCAAAATATTATTTATTTGCAATATTATACAGTATGCAAACTTAATTGAAGCTTATACATATCATAGAAGTACCAATGATGTACTTAAAGATGACAAATTTAATACCAATCAGGTTAAAGAATTGTTTTTAATGTTTTTAATATTAACACGATTTGCACATGTTGATAAATAATAAAGCCGATTTATAGCATTGAAAAGTGCATGGGTTATATTTGAACATATACGTTTGGAAGTTTGTGAACCTGATGAAAAGACTTGCAATTTAATGGTTCGTGCTTGTGCAAAGGCGATTAAAATAATATATGATAATGATTATTGCTGTTGTTGCTTTTATTATAATTAAATACATTATTATTAAAAGGGATTTGATTCAGTTCAAGGAATGAAAGAACATTGATACTCTCCTGATCTGTTACATATGATTCTTTAATATATATATATATATATACATATGATAAAGATTAAAAACTAGCTAGAAATATTTATATCAATAATTCAAATGTGCATTCTTTTTTCTTTTTCTTTTTTATCTCTAATTCAAAGGAAGATCCGATCCATCATTAACATCCGACAAACTAAACTTTTTCAAATTTATTCTGGACTTATTCATCTTACCAAGAAGAATTAAACAACCATATTGTTGAAAATAACAAAAATGCGAATGCTTTAACAGGAAAGGATGGCGGTGATGGTGATTTTCGAAACTACGCAATAATAAAATATTGCATCATTATCAACAATAACTATAAAAATACAGAGTTGTCAGCTTAATTTGTTCACGAATGAGCCTAACTGGGAATAACTCAATCTTTGACAGTTTGTCAAGAAATAAATATTAAGTCAAAGTAGCTGAATATTTTTACATGCATTAAATGCTTGTTACAAATATAATCAATTCTCTTTGGTTTACCAAACAAAGGGATTGAATTAATCTTACTGATGAATCAGAGTATAAATTACACACTATAAAGATTATTACTTCAGCGAAGCAAAACCATTTTAATTAATTAATTTGATGAAAATGATAATTGAAGTAACAATATTGATGATAAATAGTATGAAATTATCAAATAAACATACACCAAAACTAAAAGACTCTAGATTATTATTAAAGAATCAGATGAATTAGGTGAAAAGTATAAAAGAGAATTGGTTACACTATGTAACTTTGATGAAAGAAATGGATCAAATAAAAAATGGAACTATAATAATAAATTTATTAATTATTAACTATTAATTATTAAAGGGATGAGAGTGTATAATGCAAACATATTTATAATATTTGTAATTAATTAATTTTGTAATTATAATTTATATGAAGAATTATGAAAAATAATACTATGAATAAATAAAATTTCTACAAATATAAAAAATACACTAAATATAAATAAATAAATAAATTAAATGATCTGGTAATTGAGATGTTAGATGAATATGAACAACCCTTTTAATATCATTTTAATATCCTGCTGCCACGCCATTTTTTCTATAGTCACTTGCAGCTATTTAAAAAAAAAATTAATTTAGTATGTAATAATAATAAAATAATAATTTTTTTTAAAAAAAAATTATAATTATTACCATGAATTACTCCATTTTTAAATTTTCTAATAGCTTGTACTTGAGAGTAACCAAATGGTTCATCCATTGTTATCTTTAATTATAGCAAAATAAATAAATTAACAAATTGATCAATTAATCAATTAAACTAATTAACAAATTGCATATATGTAATAATTATAAAGATCAATCAGTACATTATGTCCTTTTAGTATAAGCTGATCTAATAAAAGCCTTGAAAAATCTGCTTCAACTGATACAAGATTTGGCACTAATTGATGATGAACTCTGGGTTGATTGATTGCTTCTAATACATTCATGTCAAAGTCATAAATATTTAATATATACTAAAAAGAAATAAGTTGATCAATAGGTTGAATTGATGGATGATTGATTATTTGTCAACTTTACCACTCCCTTCTTACCAGTAGGACTGATGAAATGATTCTTGAACCACCAGAACCACCTAATATAGTTTCCACTTGACCATCTGTTTGTCAAAGTCATAAATATTTAATATATACTAAAAAGAAATAAGTTGATCAATAGGTTGAATTGATGGATGATTGATTATTTGTCAACTTTACCACTCCCTTCTTACCAGTAGGACTGATGAAATGATTCTTGAACCACCAGAACCACCTAATATAGTTTCCACTTGACCATCTGTTTCAATAATTACAGGCAAACATGACGACAAAGGCTTCTTTTTAGGTTCTAAGTGATAATAAATTATTGTTATTATTATATATCATCTCTATAATCAAATCATTATAGTAATAATTTTATACATTTACCAACAAAATTAAAAGGAGATGGTTTTAAACCAAAATAATTTGTCACACCAGGGATAGAAAAATCATCCATTTCATCATTTAGTATTATTCCTGTTGATGGATCCATTACTCTTGAGCCCCAAACCAAATTTACCTTTTTTTTTTTTAAGAAAAAAAAAATAAAAAATAAATTATTTCTATTTATATTATTCTATAGTAAGTGATTAATAATATATGATTTACTTACAGTTGAAGTATATGAGACAGATTGATTGTTTTTATCAATAGCTGATATATGTGTTGTACCATGATCTTCTACCACATCATATATAGGATTATAATAAAGTGGCTCAAATGTTTGAGTCTAATTAATAAATAAATAAATAAATAACAATAATTATTATTGCAATATAGTATTATTAATATTATTGTATTTACATTATAAAACACATAAGACCCATTATTTGCAATTGATTCCAACGTATCAGAATAATTTTTTCTAATCAAAAGATCTCCTTCACCCAACAATTTTCCATTTGGTGCATATATTGCTGAATACTGTTTATTATTAATAATAAATTCTTTAAAAATCTATTAAAATTTACATATAAATTTTTAATAATAGTCATCAAATTAAATTAAAATTAAATTAAAAGAAAAAACGTACTGATAATCTATTGGCCAATTCAGATGGTACTTTAAATCCTTCTCTACTTAACTTGATTGATGGTTCAAAAAGTCTTTTCCATGGTAATTTCCCATATCTTTATATATATATATAAATATTAATTAGTAATGATGATAAGATAACATTTCTTGTATATGCAATTTATTACATAAATACATTATTATTATTTACCTTTTGTGTGCTATCTCCATTCCAAGCACTTCACCACTAAAAAATAAATATTGTTTATATCACTATTATTAATTATTTTTGTTATTAATTGTCAACATCTTAGATCACTTACGGCACACCAACACTAAGACCACCAAATTTGGCCAATTCGGGATTTTTCACAAACATTGTTTTATATGACGCCAACGGTGCTACTTCACGAAAATCTAATGTTTCTAAAGTTCCATTTGAATCTCTGACTAATAAAAATCCCCCACTATTTGAAAAATAATATTAATAACGATAATCCTAATGATTATCAAATTAAAATTATCATATTTACCCTCCAATACCGGAAGAAAATGCATTTATGGTACCAATGCATAATTGAGTCGCAATTGTTGCATCCATAGCCGATCCACCTTCCTTCAATACTAAAAATTATTATATTTAAAGATTAAAATGAATAAATTACTATTAACACAATTAGTTATATAGCCATTGGTTTTACCATCAACACCGATTTGAGAACAATGTATTTCTTCGGATGCAACTGCTCCATTTTGTGCAACGATTAAATTTTTCGTTTTAGATTCTAATTTTATTTATTTGATTTGATAGTTTTAATAGGTAATCAAAAAAGTTTAAAAATTTTCAATTAAATAAAATTCTTATTATTTTATACCTTCTTCCGAAATACCAGATCTAATAACAAATAAAACTATACAAGCCCAAACAATATAAATACTGATAATTATACTTGTCACTAAACGTTTTGTATTACTATTAGTTGATTTTTTTTGATTATCAGAGTCGGGTAATAACCTAGCAGTATCATCTTCAATGTTGTTGGGTCTTCCTTCTTCTATGGATATTAAATTATCGGCCATTTTTCAAATTTTAAATTACGAAAAAAAAAAGAAAGAAGGAATAAACCACGCACACAAAAACCATATTTTTATATATATAAAAGATCGTCAGAGATATTTGTAAAACGTCAACTAAATATGGAAATTAATACAGATGATATCTAAATTAGGCTAGTTTTATAACGATTCGCAGTCGAATTTCAACAAAATTACTATTTTGTTGAAATTTGTGATACGCACTGGTTGAATTTTCAACATTGTATCGAAATTATCGGGTAATAATAATAACGATATCCGATATCCGAATATTCATAAAGTAAATATGACTCTATCCGCCAAATGATTTGTGATGTCAAGTAAGTTGTGGCACATTATTAGAATTATGACATGTGTAACAATAATTACGACAGTGAGCGCCTGATCACACTAACACGAACCTCGAAGGCTGATTGGTGTATATTCTCTGTTTAGGCAGTGGTTTACGAAGACTAGTCCTTTTTTTCAGTTTGAGTTTCTTTTTGGGATTAAATTAACCAGAATTATAGTATTGCGGTCCTTCACTCCTTTTTAAAGCGCTTTCGAATCATAGTAAAAGTGTTGCCGGTCACATTTCAATAGTTTTTCCCGAATATAGTGGTAGATCTTTCTAAAAAAAAACATTTTAGACGTTGTCGTGATTGTTGTTACACATGTCATCATTTAATCTTACAATGGGCTTGCGTGTGTATATTATCAAAAATTTTAATAAAGGACTAATGAATTATCCCCTTTTTTTTTTTTTTAATGGCAACCGAGTAAGCATCTTTACATTTTCAAAAAAAAACTTGATTAAAAAAAATTTTTTTGACAATAAAGAGAATTATCCCTTCTTTTGAGGGTGGTGGCAAAGTATCTACAAGAATTTATTCTCGCATATTTAAAATTGTTATAAAATGATGGTGATTTGATATTTGCTGGAAAGTGTAGTTATCTAAAAATATTATAAATTTGCTTTTTTTAAAAATTCATGACTTAATTTTTTCCCTTTTCTTCACAAATCACATCTTTAATTGTTATTGTTACCAGAATTAGGATTTTACGCTAATTCCGAACCAAATCTTTTATTTCTATTTTACTTTATTTTTATATCTACTACTACATTTATTTATTCCTTATACAGTCAAACCTCGTTATAACGGACCTCGTTATAACGGATTTTTGTTATACCGGACAAAACTTTATTTCTATTTTTTTTTATTAAATAAAAAATTTTGTTATAACGGATTTATATAATAAACCTCGTTATTCCGTATAACGGACATTTATTGAAAATTTTTATATATATTACTAGTCGCGTTATACCGGATTTTTTGATGAGCACAGATCATCTATACTAAAAATGTTCAAGTTTGTATTTTCACAATACATTCATTTTCCCTTTTCTACAATATATTAATTGTTTGATCTTTTCCTTTTTTACAATATATTCATTGTTTGATCTTTTTTACTATTTCTTTACAAAGAATACATTCATTTGTATTTTTATTTTGATCTTTTGTTTACTATTACAAGACATTCATCTGCAATTGCTCATTCGCCATACTTTATTTTATAGCTTCTATCCAAGATACTCTTTAAAGGTTTCAATTGTAATGATAATAAATAAAATAAAATAATTGTCCTATTACTAACGGTTGATGGAAATGTAGATATTGCTTTTAACAATGATTTATTAAACACTTTATCAAGTAAATTGATGCCATTGATTTAATTGACAAAATAGAGAAATGGAAAAGTGTTTTCTTTGAACTGAATGGTTAGTTTATTTTAAAAACGTCAAATTGTTTTTCATTGATATTGAAGTTTTGAGGATATAAATAAAGCTTTAAATTTTCTTTTTGAAATAAAATTCGTCTGTCCGTACACAAAACAAAATTATTATTATAATAATAATAAAAATTCCGTCCGTCTATACACGAAACAAAATAATAATAAAAATCCCGTCTGTACACGAAACAAAATTATAATAATAAAAATCCCGTCTGTACACGAACAATTATAATAATAATAAAAATCCCGTCTGTCCAAATTTAATAATAAAAACCCATACACACACAATATAAAATTAGTAAAAAATTTCTAATGTCTCAACAAGAACAAAAAAACGCATCCACCTTACTGCTGCACAAAAATTTGAAATTTGTTCAATAAAACAATGAGAACCAAATAAAAAAAATGTTGATTTGGCTACAGAATTTGGAATCAGTACAAGTCAAGTTAGTGACATCATAAGAAGTTCTAACAAATGGCTTCAAGTTGATCCAAATTCATATCAAGCAACATTAAAAAAATTACGTCCCTCACCTTTAATAAATATTGAAGAGGCATTAATCTTGTGGATTGAAAAAGCTCTTGAATGTAATTTGACAATTACAGGCACCATAATTCAACAAAAAGCCCTAGATTTTGCTGATTTGTTAAATCACCATAATTTTAAAGCATCTCAAGGATGGCTTGAAAATTTTAAACATAGATTCTCAATTCAGGCATTTAATAAACATGGAGAAGCCCAAAGTGCTCCAATAAGTGAGATTCCACAAATGAGACAAAATTTAAGAGAAGTCCTTCAACAGTATAGGCGGGAGGATATCTTCAACTGTGATGAGACTGGTTTGTTCTGGAAAATGGAACCTAATCGTGGGCTATCAACTGGACCACTTCCAGGAACCAAAAAAAACAAGGATAGAGTTACAGTTCTTTTAACATGTAACTCAACTGGCACAGAAAAATTAATTCCCTTATTTATACACAAATACCAAAACCCAAGGCCATTGAGAGGAATAAAAAAAGACACATTACCAGTAAATTATTATTGGAATAACACAGCTTGGATGCAAATTTCTATATGGAATGATTATCTCAAAAAATTAAATAAAAAAATGCAAGATGAAAATAGGAATATTATATTATTAGTTGATAATGCTCCAACACATACCTTAACAGAGGGTGTCACTTTCCCAAACATAACAATTCATTATTTACCACCAAATACCACAGCACATTTACAACCATGTGATGCAGGCATCATTCATAGTTTCAAAGCTCATTATAAAAGGCTATTTTTGAAAAAAAGAATAAATAATTTTGATGAAGAACAGTCTGGCATAGAACCCGATCCAATTAATATTTATCATGTAGTTAAGATGGTTGCAAGAGCTTGGGATTTTGTTACACCAGAAATTATTTCTAATTGTTGGAAAAAAACTGGAATTCTTCCAGAAGAAAATGATTTATATCCTATAGAAATAGAACAAGCCAACAATTTAGTAAATGAAATTCTCCAAGAAGAAGAAAATGCTGTTCAAAATTTAATTAATAATTTACCAATTAATTCACCTCTAACAGCAGCAGAATTTATTTCAATAGATAATGCAGATGTAAGTGTTGAAATGGTAACTGATGAACAAATAATCTTATCACTTACTCCAACTGAGGAAGAAATTGAAGAAAATGTTCCAATGTTACCTTATATTCCAATTAAAGATGCTGTTGCTGCTTTTGAAACTGTTCATAAATTTTTTGAACAAGATAATGATGGTTTAGAATTAGATTATAATGAACTCAAAGTTTTTCATGCATTAAAGAAAAAAATTAATTTGTATAATTCTAAAAGTTTAAACCAAGGAAAATTAACTTCTTATTTTACCAAACGACAATAGCATCATATCAGTTATATTATAATAATAATAATTATTATTATGTTGTACAATTTTATTATCGTTGATATTAATAAAAAAGTTATTTTTAAAACATCACGTGATGATCATCAATTACCTTGGTTACCGGATACCTCGTTATAACGGACCATTGAGGCCAAACCAATATGTCCGTTATAACGAGGTTCGACTGTATTGAAGAACCATCCTTATAATTTTTTCCTGGTCTTCTAGGGCGAAGATTGTAATGGGTTTCTTCAACCCTTTCTATTTCTTTTCCTTTTTTGCTGTTGCTAGATCCTAATTTTTAATAAAAAAAAATTATTATATAGTAAAAGTAAAAAAAAATAAATTGCAAACAATTAATTTATGATAATTAATTTCATCACCAATTCCAATATCATTATCATTATAATCATTATAACAAGCATCCTGTAATAGGGAGAAGATGTAATAATATAAAGTTAAATTTTTAAAGTGAAAATTGAATAAATTATTAAATAGAGAAATTCTTTAAACTTACATCATCATCACCATTATTATTATTATTACTACTATTATTGTTACCATCATCATTATTATTATCAATGTTCTATAATAGGAAGATATAAAAGTTAAATTTCTAAAGTGAAAATTGAATAAATTATTAAATAGAGAAATTCTTTAAACTTACATCATCATCACCATTATTATTATTACTACTATTATTGTTACCATCATCATTATTATTATCAATGTTCTATAATAGGAAGATATAATAATATAAAAGTTAAATTTCTGAAATGAAACAAATGAACATTTACACCATCACCAGTCATACCAACAAGTAGACCACGTTTTTGTAAAAGTTCAACCACATGATATTTATGTTCGGGTATGACTTGAGAATTACTAAATGGATGAGTTCTTTAAACTTACATCATCATCACCATTATTGTTATTGCTACTAATAATATTGCCATCATCATTATTGTTATGAACATCCTGCAATAAGAAAATCTAATGATATAAAAGTTAAATTTCTGAAACGAAACAAATGAATTACTAAATGATGAGTTCTTTAAACTTACATTATCATCACCATTGTTATTATTACTACTATTATTATTGCCATCATCATTATTGTTATGAACATCCTGCAATAGAAAGAAGATGAATAATGTAAGGGTTAAATCTAAAATGGGTGAATTACTAAATGGAGAAGTCCTTTATACTTATGATATTTACATCATCATTAAGATTATCATTATTATTAACATCCTGTAATAGGAAGTGGATTTAATAATATAAAAGTTAAAATGAACTACTAAATGGAGAAGTACTTTAAACTTACATTGTCACCATCACCATTGCCATTACTACCATTATTAACATTCTGTAGTAGAGTGAAAATATAATAAATATAAAAATTGAATTTCTGAACAAATTACTAAACAGAAAAATTCTTTAAACTTACATCATCATTATTACTGCTATTATCATCATCATTGTTATTATTATTTACATTCTGTAATAGAATGAAGGTATAATAATATATAAAAGTTAAGCTTCTGAAAACAAAAAAAAAACAAAAAAAAAATATTTGTTTGATGATTACTGGAAATATGATCTTTAATAATTCTTCCACATGGTAATTGGCTGAAAGAACAAGCTGTTCATCTATGTTATTCAATGATGATGGATTTACTGTTGATAATCTTTTCATGTTGTTTAAAAAAATGTTCTGTGCAATATAATAATAATATGTGAATTTTAAAGGTAAAAGATTGAAATTCAAATATGATTCACTCACTAAATTATTCCTAAATTAAATGAATTAAAAAGCATTATTATAATGATTAACTAGAGTGACGACGAGTGATGGCGATAACCACCACCACCATCCTTAAAACACTTACCCTGCAATCTCTTCTTGAACATCTCCTTTTGTTCTTTTATTGTCAGTGTTTTTATTATTACGAGGCATGTGTATATATATATTTATGAAAAAAAAATAAAAAGTTTGTTTGATCGACGCGCACACATTGATTATTTATCCTATTACTATTGGTATATAGGACAGACGCAAATTGATTTTTTTTTGGAAAAACAATTTATCTTTGACAGAGTCCAAGGTGACAAACGTGAACGTTGTTGTTTGGTTTGGTTTGGTTTGGGTCTCCTAAAGAAAACGTGTTAATAACTAACCAGAGGTACTATTGTTTATTTGTATTGATTGATATTTTTATTTTATATAAATATTTTTAATTGGAATCAAACGCGGAGCAGATCATTGCTGGGTAATTACAAGATTTTCATTGATAATATTTTGCTTTTCGTAATCGTGATAATAATATAATAATAATATTATTATTATATTATTATATGATCACAAGAAGATGTCAAGGCAGCACACCATTGAAAAAGAAACATTTTGATGCACACTGCCTTGAACACTTTACAGTCATATTCTCACGTCTTCCTTGTGTACACAAGGCTAATCTGACCTGATGGATCGATGATGCAATGATGCAACAGAATTCCAGGGGTAATACGTGGCTCTGGAATTTTACCAAAACTGCATCAATTGTCAATGACGCTTTCACCAATCTTCCCAGACCAGAGAGGGCTGCTGCCATGTTGGCCGAAAAGTTGCCTGCAATGATCCTACCTCTAGGGCAAGGATGGCACTGTGACCAAGTCGCAACTATGCTGATGAATTGTAGTGACATGTAAATATCCAGATCCATCAAAGCAACGAGAATCTGCAACTTGTTTCAAGCACAGGAGGTCGCAATTCAGAGTGGGGCTGGTGACCCTGAAATTGCATTTGGGCTCTGATGTTAAGAGGAAAGTTGTAAAATAAAATGGGGTTGATTTTGTTTGGTATGTTATAAATTAATAATTTTCTGCCTCTCTTTAATTTTTATCTGACCAACCGAATTTGTTGTTTTTTAAAATGGGGGCTTTTGCCCATATAACCTCCTATTCTAGGATAGTGGAGTGTAGCTCAATGGGCGCATGTACTTTACAAGTATATAGGTGGCAATTCGATTCTTTCTACTCCTATTGTGATAGCCATCATGATCACTAGCATCAAGGAGAGAGCTGTAAAATAAGTAGTTCAGATTTTGTTCGGTATGTTATATATAAGTTAATCAATCATTTTCCCAAATTCTCTATTTCTCTAAATTTTATTTGACAAACTGAACTTGTTATTTAAGTGGGGGTAGGGTTGTTGGTGAGTAGGTGCGCCTGAATTCAGGGAAAATCCAAAACAGCAACCCAGGTTGCAACCTCCTGAGTCGGAAAATTTTGAAGCCAGTCTTAACACCAACTTTATTCTAGAGGGTGAATAACACAAAGCAATCATCACACAAGCACCAAGCTATCAATGATCAATGCCTATATGGTTACTACCAAGCCTGGTCTGAGAGGGAAGATAGGGAAAGTTTTGTCCAAAGTCTTCCAGCATGTTTAGGACTGTTTCACCTGTGGAAAACATTCCATAGTGCTGAATTGTGCTTAGTTGCACGGTCCTTCATGTTTGTGATAGGAAAATTTCAATTAAATCTGACACCTGTGATTCAACATCAGATTTATTATTCATAAGGAACCATAATTTATTTTTGTGAACCCCAGAGATCTGGATAGACACGCATTATTAAAAGTTTCATTTATGCATGGCCTTGGTATTATCACTACCTGGGTGATGCAATTGTTTGTTATGTCAATGATGATATCAAATGTATTGAATAATAATCATGACCATCATGA